GCCCCAAACAGACCCTTAGTTTACTAAGGAAGATTTACATACATACCACTCAATTCCTATGTATTTACAAATCTAAAATCTAAAATTTACTTTTTTACGTTTATTTACACCGCATTACCTATGATTGAAAAGGTGTGCTCACTTCCTAAAAGTTAAAATAATTGTATTTTTAATGGGATATCAAAGATTTAGTTGGTATAAAAGTAAATAAATAAAAAAATAAAATTGGTGTTAGATATGTAAATACGTAGGAATTATGTGTTATGTATGTAAATGCCCCTTTAATTAATTAATATGCCAGCAAGAGGAAATGCCAAATCAAACGGTATTTTATTTTATTTTATTTTATTTTTTAATACCAAACCAAATAATAATTAGGATAATATTAAAAATACGATAATTAATAGTTATTTAAAATCCCAAGTTGTCTTCATGACATACCCCAAAATTCTTATTTATTTTCATATCTATCCAATGCTTCAATTTTTATATTTATATGCAAAACTCTCAAATAATTAATATTACATACATTAAAAATATCACTATTAATATTTTAAAAAAAATTGAAGCACAACTTCTTATGCATAAATTTATGATATCAAATTGTTAAAAATATAAATATTAAATTTTAGGGGTTATATATATAAATATATAAGAATTGTGTGGCATGCATGTAAATTTTCCAAAATGAAAATGGTTTAGATGGACATAATCATATAGCAATGATTTAAGTCTACGTTTTAGGTTGTTAGTTGCTGTTGAAAAAGCTATAGAGTTGGGCCATGACACCATATCAAATTTAGTTTAATCTATTTTCTTAATTTTAAATTTAAGTTTTTAAGAGAGATTTAATTACTAATATTTGTATGCTAATTTGTTTTAAAATGTATCATGTGAGATTAAAATGCATGATTATATTATATTATTTATTATTTTAATTATTATATTTATTGAGAAGCCGTTGTAATGAAGGTATCAAAGGTAAGCCCAAAATATTCATTTTTAAATATATAATTGTTTTAATATTTAAGATTATAAATGAAGGGCCCTCATTAAATTCTTACACCAAAATATTTTTTAACTCTCAATTATTTTATATGAGACTAAATTTATTAGTCTACCATATCGCAAAAAATAAAGAATTGCAAATAATTATTTATTTTAAGAAATTAATATATTTAAAAAATATGTACTAAGAATATTTAATCAATTGAGTGTTAGGTCTGACTCATATACCAGGATTTGGAGTCTCTTGGAAAGAAGAGGTGTGTCTTGGAGATAAGTGGGTTGGGGAGCGAGAGCGTGTTGGTAATTTTATCTGTGAGCTTTATTTATATATATGATGTGTAACCCTATGGGTATGTACCAGATTCATCTGAAATAGTAAAATTTGCCGCTCTGCTTCCGAGGACGTAGAAATTGATGTGAAATTATGTTACAGGTGACTTTCGGAAAGTATATATGGTAGATGGAGAAGCTCTGAACGTGGTAGGAATGGGAGATATTGACATTGCACTTCCAAATAAGAACAAATGGACTTTGTAAAAGGTCAGGCACATCTCTGAACTGAAAAAGAACCTCATTTCTGTTGAGCAGCAGTTCAGATAAAGGGTTGCGGCAGTTCGGCGAGTTCTGCGGCAGCGTCTCGAGTTCACGCGATAAAGGAGAGTTCCTGCGGCATTTCGAGGAAGTTTAGCAGCATTTCGATTTCACAGATGAGAGGAGTTTGATGGTGTTCAACCAGTGGAGTTCGCAAGTTCATCGCAGGTGGAGTTGCGATAGGTGGAGTTCGGCAGGGTGCAGGCAACGCCAGCAGACGCTATTATTCACGAACAATGGTTTCAAGGTTTGAGGAGGTATTTCGCGAAGATTTTCGCTCGCGGGAAAGTAGTTTAGTCGAGGTGTTGACGCGAATAGGAAAAGTGCTTCGTGTGAAAATTTTGATTCACGAATTACAATAGAATTGCAGGAAAGTTGTTGCATATTACAGAAAAATTTTAAGTTTCTTTGAATTTATTTGAGGTGTGTTTTTGTTTCGACACAAGGCAGGAAAAGTTGTTGTAAGATTAATTTCAAATAATAATGTCTAGTGCAAAATTCGAGATAGTGAAGTTCGATGGAACCGGGAACTTTGGATTGTGGTAAACAACAGTGAAAGATTTGTTGGCTTAACAAAGAATTTTGAAGGCTTTGCGAGCTACGAAACCTGATAATATAGAAGATGAAGATTTGGAAGAATTGCGGCAGGTACCATACGTTTTTGTCTGACATATGAGATTATATATAATGTTATGAATATGAAATCTCCAGGAGAAGTATGGAAGAAATTGGAATATTAGTTTATGTTAAAATCTTTAACAAATAAATTGTATCTGAAGCAAAGATTATATGGGCTAAAGATGCAGGCAGACTCTGATCTGTCATAGTATTTGAATGTCTTCAATCAAATAATCACATATCTGACACGTTTTGGTGTGAGTATTGAAGATGAAGACAGAGCAATGACTCTATTGTGTTCATTGTCTTCCTCCTATGAACATCTGGCGACTACTCTTACATTTGAGAAAGAAACAATCAAAATTGATGAGATTACCAAAGCATTGTTGGCTCACAACCAGCGAAAACAAAATGCAGGAGAAAACTCTCATGGCGACAATTTATATTTTAAGGATAAGCAGAATCGTGGAAGGAAGGAGGAGAAGGAGAGTTTTGCAATGTGAAATTCCAGGTCAAAGTCTAAAGGCAGAAAGACAATTCATTACTACAAGAGCAAGGAGCAGGGACATATGAAGAGAAATTGTCCAAAGCTTAAGAAGCAGTTTGATGAGAAATATGATGTATCTTCCAAGTCCATGAATATGGTGCAGAGTGGCATTACAGATTACAGTGATGGTGATGCACTTTCAGTTACAACAACTCAATTAAAGGATGCATTGATTCTTGATTCAAGATACTCTTATCACATAACACCTAACAAAGAATGGTTTACTTCATACAGGTTATATGATTCTGGTTCAGTCATTTGGGTGATGATAGATGTTACAATATTACTAGTATTGACAAAGTCAAAATTAAGATGTATGATGACACTGTCAGAACATTATGTGATGAAAGATATATTTCAGATTTGAAGAAAAATTTAATTTTCTTAGGCACTTTATCAAAAATGGTTTTATTCCTAAGGCAGGTGAGGATAGAAAAATCATCAGAATTATTAAAGGTGCATTGATTGTAATGAAAGGAAATATCACTGCATGTATAATATCTATAAATTGTTGTGAAGTACAGTTATAGGTGAAGTTCACTCTGTTAAATCATATGATGAAATTGCAGCAGATATGTTGACCAAGCCGGATACTATCAACAATTTCTTGCATTGCTTGATCTTGTTGAATGTTTGTAATTGATAAACGGCATGATTGTCCAACCCACTTCAGTGCAAGAAACTCCATGATGTATTTCTCCTAAGGGGTTGGATATTCGCTAATGTGGAGATTTGTTAGGTATATGTACGTCTCCTAAGGGGCTGGTATTCGCCAAGGTGGAGATTTGTTTGGTATATTTATTTCTCCTAAGGGGTTGAATATTCTCCAAGGTGGAGGTTTGTTAGGTATGGCTCATATACCAGAATTTGGAGTCCCATGGAGATAAGTGGGTTGAGGGAGCGAGGGCGTGTTAGTAATTTAATCTGTGGGTTTTATCTATATATATGATGTGTAACCCTATGGGCATGTACTGGATTCCTCTGAAATAGTGAAATTCGACGCTCTGCTCCTGAGAATGTAGACATCTTTGCTGAGTCACGATAATTCTCTGTGTGTTCTTTTGGTGTGAATTTTTCTCGTTTCATTTTTCACTTTGTCGTCGATTGTTCTATTTCAATATACCACACAACATAAAGCATATTATGTGTAATATAAAGTCAAATATTCTGTTTTTTTAACTCAAAAATGGACAATAAATGAGCTGCAAAGCACAAACAAGAGACTCTTATGAGGACTCGCAAGTCAGTGCATGTTAATAAATACTTCTTTTAATTGCACAAGCGAATGTTTGTCATATAATAATGTAACCTATTTTATTTTTCGAAATAAGGCCATATTTTATTTTTATTATTTATTTTTTAAATTAAATGAACATTTTTTTCCACTTAAAAATCTCTGCTGTTGGAGGATATTTTGATAAAGGCAAAGTATAAAGAAATAGTTTTTTTTTAGTATTTATTATTATTATTATTATTATTATTATTATTATTATTATGGCTTGCTTATCAAGTTTATGAGATATATTTTGAAAATGTGAAATATTTCACGTGATATTTTCAAATTCCTAAAAACAAAAATAAAAATGCTTGCCCAAAGTCCTGAAAACGTGATAAAGGCAAAGAGCAGCCCCCCCAAAACGAAGCATTTAAAGGTGCACCTATTTATTTATTTCATATGAATTATTTTTAAAATGCAAAAATAACACTTGTTATTTTCAAAATTCCTAAAATAGCACCAACTTATTTCTAAAATGCTAACTACAAAAATGAAAATGTTTGACCGAGAATACAAGTTCCAAATCATGAATAAAAGCAAATAAATATGCTATGCCCATTGTTTCTACTCACATTTACATGCACGCCACACAATTCTCATGTATTTACATATATATCTCAGATCCAAACTTTCATATTTACGCACATGTCACTCAAATCTTTAGTATCGCATAAAAAATACACCTTTTCATGCATATGCACACATGAAAATTTAGGTATGAGATATGTACATACATAGGAATTAAGTGCTAGGTACTCAGGTTTTTCAACATTAAAAGATTAATAATAATATTAAATTATATTATAAACTATATATAAATATATAAATTAAATAAAATAAAAAACAGAATTAAAGATCTGATATCATCACATCCTAATCCTGACCTCACCAACTCCCTCCATCCTCCCACCCTCTATAAATCATTCAAATTCTTTTTATAATGCCCCCCTCCAAAACAAGCCTTCTACCTCCAATCTCTCATCACCCATCTCTTTCTCCTTCTAAACACCATGAACTTAATTGATGCCACCTCCTCCTCCACCTCCTCCCCCTCCCCCTCCCCATCCCCCCCTCTCCTCACTCTCACTCCTCCCACCATCCTCAGCCCCTGCGCCGCTTGCAAGATCCTCCGCCGTCGCTGCGTCGACAAATGCCTTCTTGCCCCTTACTTCCCCCCCACCGATCCCCTCAAATTCACCGTCGCCCACCGCGTCTTCGGCGCCAGCAACATCATCAAATTCCTCCAAGTAAGACCTCCACCACGCATTTCATGTATCATAACTAATTCTTCTTCATTGTTAGTCATGATTCAATTTTCAATCCCTCCTTCTCACAATTATATATGATATATGCAGGATCTGCCTGAAGTCCACAGAGCTGATGCAGTGAGCAGCATGGTGTATGAGGCCAATGCAAGGCTAAGAGACCCCATTTATGGTTGTGCTGGAGCCATTTGCAAGCTTCAGAAACAGGTGACAAAGCTCCAAGCTCAGCTTGCTCGCACAAGGGCTGATCTCCTACATGTCCAAACCCAACATGCCAACTTCCTGGCACTCCTGATGGCGCCGTCTTCGTTGCACCCGTCGCCGACGATCGATCAATCAACCTTCGCTTCGCCTGAGTTCTCCTATGAAGGCGACGGCGGCGACGGCGGCGGATATGCACCCATTTGGGAGGATTCCTTGTGGGCATGATAAAAGATTGAGAGGGATGATGTTGGTGATGATGAAATGAGTCATTAATAAGTGGTTTAGTATTTTGATTAATTATAAAGTTAATTAATCATAATATGTGTGATGAGAATTAATTAATCTAATATGTATGATGCTCAATCTCAAGGGTTGGAGCATCAAATATTAATGAAAATTTTCTACATTTTTGTTTTCCTTTGCTAGTTATGTAATTGTGTTGGATAAAGAAAGATATTAGAGGATGATTAGAGTAATGAGCATGATTAATGATTGTGTTAGTTACTAATTATGTCATGCTGTTCTTTTCAAACTAAGCTTTGAAATTCTCCCATCGCTTAGGAGTAAGACAATCATAAGCCTCTTTGGTGAAAATCAGACCCCTTTTGCATGCAAGGGTGTTCGATTTTCAAAGTAGGAGCACTTTATTTTTTTGACATTAAAAGTTTTTAATTTGACCTTCTATACTCACTTCTCATTTTCATTTTAAAATAATACAATAGACAAATTATAAATAAAATGCATACTCTTAATTATAATTAAAATCTCAATTAAAAATCTAATTATTATATAATTTCTACTTTATTTTTTCTTTTCTTCTTTGACCAAGAGTATTGTAATATTCCGGAGTGAAACTAGGTTATGTCCAGAATGGTCAACTATTCCCCACCCATTGATAAATTTTTTTTGTTTGATACTTGAAAAAATTAGACATTTAGTGATTTTGCCCACCCTAAAAATTAATCATGATTACACCCCTAGTAATATCAATTAATTGGTCAATTATTTTATTTTCTCATGCCACTTTTGCATGTTCCTGATCTTATCAGTCATATCATTATCTGCTTAATTAACTATTATTATTATTGATTGGGATTAGAGTCATTAATTTGTTTTACACTATTATGACATTAATACAAAAAGAAGAAAATCTATACATTATCATAATTATAGAAAAAGAAAAATGTTGTGAGGAAATTTGAAGCTTGCCAAAGATAGCAAGCAAAACTCTGACTTGGGAGCAAATATTGAGGCCAAATGAGAATAGTTGGGCTTGACTAAGTTAGAAGGATACAAGAGAACAGGTTTGATTAATTAGAAGAATCTTAATTATAAAAGTCAATAGAGGATGCCTTACCTCATTGCTTTGAAATAATAGGAATGGTATTAATGCAAAAATGTGAAGAGAGAGTGTGTGATTAGTAAAGAGGACTCATGCCAAGTGTGGGACCCATAAGATTAGAACTAGAAGCTGAATATTTCTCCAAAGTTGTGCATGTAAGTTTATAATTTAGAAAAATGGCGTGCACATGCCCCTAAAATCAACTTTACTTGGCCAAATATGAAAGGAAATATATACATATTTTTTATCATGGTGATAGGGAGAGAGAGATTGGAAATTTAGTTGTCTTAGAGAGGATGATGTTTGTCTCCTTTAACTTAGTGGATTTATGAGAAATTTTTCATACATACCACACAATTCTTATGTATTTACATATCTAAGACCTAAATATTTATGTATTTACTTTGGTGTTAGAAACCTATGAATGAAAAATATGTATTTTACTTTTCAATAGTAAGCAAGAATGATATTATTGATGTGTTCGTAAATATTTGAGTGTTGTGCATATAAATATGAAAGTATAGATATGTAATTAAATAAGAATTGTGTGACGGGAATGTAAATGCCTCTGTTATTATATGTATCACATAATTCTTAATTTTAATATTTTCTTATATAAAACTTTGAAGACAAAATCATTTTAAGACATATGCATAAAGAATTTATATGTTATATAAGTAAATATCAAATTTTAGTGTTAGATATGTAACGACAACAACAACAACAAGCTTTTATCTCACTAAGTGGGGTCAGCTACATGAATCCTTTTTCTCCATTGCATCCTATTGAGTGTCATATTTTTTATTTAATTCTACTAGAATAAGATCATATTTTATACAGTATGCCCGAGTATTTTTAGGTCTAGCGTTGTCTTTTTTAACATAAGTCACAGATATATTCATTATGCATTTTGTCTGTCAAGCCAGTCATCTACCTAAGCATTATCATCTCACCAACACTTAACTTAGTTTTATATTTTTCTTTTATAGACCAACATTTTGTGTCATAGAGCATTGCAGGTCTCATCACCATCTTATAAAATTTTCCTTTCTGTCGTATAAGCTGTACTTTTATGTCACACAATAGGCCTGATGCAATCCTCCACTTCAACCAACCATTATGGATTCTACTAATAACATCCCCATTTATATCACCATCACTTTAAACAATAGACCTGAGATATCTAAATCGTCCACAGCTCTTAATGATTTATAATGATTTGATCACTCATTGTTGCAACTTTGCCACAAGATCTATTTCTTCTAAAATTACATTTCATATATTCAATTTTAGATCTGCTCGAACGAAAGCCTTTAGACTCCAATATAGACATCCATAATTCAAGTTTTTCCTAAAATCTTTCTCTAGCTATATCCACAAAAAGGATATCATCAGTAAAAAGCATGCACCATGGTACATCTTCCTGTAAATGTCCAACAAAAGAATCCATAACTAAAGCAAAAAGATATGGACTTAAAGTCCATCTCTAATGTAGTCCAACTGAAATAAGAAAAAAATACATGGTTAATCCTTCTTCATTTCGAACAAAAGTAACATCTCTGCTATCATATCTTTAATGACTTGAATGTAAGTCATATCAACACCTTTCTTTGATCAATAGTTCTCCAAATGACTTCTTTTAGAACCTTATCTTAAGTTTTTTCTAAATCCTTCTTATTCTCTATGCCCGCTCCATCAAACCTCTCAAAAAATGTATAGCTTCTATAGTAGACCCGCCATGCATAATCCAAACCGATTGTGAGGATATATATATAAATTCCCAAAAATTAAATGTGCTCCTAAAATTAGTGAATTACTAATATTAAATCTTATAACAATAAAGTCTAATTAAGAAGATGAAAAAATAATTGAATAAATGGAAATATAAAAGCTCCTTGCCTTCGTTAAAATCAATAAATTTTTGACATTATCTTTATCTTATGTGAAAATATATAACATTTAATTTACATCAACATATAAGTCATCCTTATGTTGATTTTTTGAAAGTATGGTACTGAGAAAAACATAGCAAAACAATAATTTTAAAATACATAATATCTACTTCGAAGACTTAAGCAATCAGTGGAGTCGTTGACCAAATGTACACTCCCACGAGTCAAATCTGGTGTCATCCTTCTTTACATTAATATATATAACCTTTCAAGAAAGAGAGAGAGGTGGAGGGTCCGAGAATTGTGGAGAAATAAGGGTAAGCTCTTAGTCTTTATACCATCTCCTGTGCCTACTTTTAGGCCATCGACCCCTACTTATAGATACAAGAGGAGCACGACTTAGCACAAATAAGGGAATACTATATGAGTTAAAATTTTATATAGATGGTGTATCTTATGGCATGTGTGTGTCATAAGATTGACGTCGATAGAGTAATAATTTCACATCTAAGTGTTGGACTGAAATCTATTGCACAAAGACATAAAAGAAAAGTAAACGATTAAGTGGAAAACCTTGAAAAGTGAAAAAAAATTATGGGGCCTAGCCTAGTTGAAAAATATTTTATCATGTAATGGTAAGTACATAGGCCCACTCTCCACTTGAGTTAGAGAAAATAAGATTACAGTATTGATGTTCAACGATAGTTCAGTAATAATATTTGTAATGGACCGCAAATGCTCTGATTAAATGTTATGAAGACACGAGTCTGTTATGAATATTATAGACAGTGGTTGTAGCGTCAGTTTATTGCAAAGGTCCAAGTTAAAAGTTGTGGTAGTACTTGGTCATGTAGGTCGTAGATGGTTGCTTCAAGAATGTTGATTGGACATACAGGTCAAAGTATGGAGCTGCAAGAGATATGATCCTCGTAAGTCATATTTGGTCATAATGATCGTAGTGATGAGCTGCAATGAAGCACATAAGCCGCAGATACGAGAATTGGGGGATGCATGAGTTGTGATAATATTCATAGGCTATAGAGGTCGGATTTGGGAGCCGCATGAGTTGTGATAAAATCAGTAAACTGTAGTGGTCGGAGTTTGGAACTACATGAGTTATGATAATGTTCGTAGGTCGTCGATCGCGAGTCTAGAGTTGGGAGTGAGTTGTAATAACATCCATAGGGTGCAAATGCCAAAGTAGAGTGTTATATGATATTTGATAAAGTTCATTTGTCATAAAAACTAGACTTGAGAGATGCACAAGCTATGATAATATATGTAGGTCATAAAGGTTGGAGTTGTGCATGATTTGTGATAATTTTTGTAAGTCACAAAGGACCAAATTTGGAAGTTACATGAACGGTGATAGCATCACCAATAGTTCGAAGCTGCATGAGATGTGAGCCACATAGGTCATAGTTTGTTAGATATATTGTAATGGTGAACTACAAGGAGAGAGCTTCATGAGTCTAAGGAAAATCATTATATATAGTACATCGATTACAAGTGCTTATTTGGGGTGTAATGTTACATCATTTTTGAGTTAGGTAATTACATCATATGTGGGTGCATCATTACACATATTTGAGATGTGTTGTTACACCATCTTTAAGGTGCGTCGTTACACCATCTTTGAAGTGTGTTGCTAAACTATATGTAGAATGCATGTTAAAATGTCTTTATGGTGCGTTGTTGCACCGTCTTTGCAGTTTGTTGATCTGTAGGATGCTTCGTTGCTCTGTATGTTTCAATTCTTTTTGTAATTCGAATTCTCCAGCCTGTCTTGTCTTCACCTTAGGATTCTCATTTCTAATAGGCCCTCTTACTTGAATCGTATGAATGATTCAGAGTGGAGAAGGGATCGAAAAAGAAGAGATTAGGATGGAGACTAGGCGAAGAAAATGAAAAGAGCCTGGAGAGCTTATGTAGGGTAAACCTCGTGTGATAGGTTAAGGATGTACGTACGAACAAGATCAAATCAATGCACGTTAAACCAAATATCCACAAAAGAATGCCCACTTAAGTTACCCAAGTAACTAGATAACCAAAAGAACGCTTTGTTTTAGGGTCAGGACCAACTCTTAAAGGAACGTATCTCTTTGGTTAATTCAATTTTTTTTGA